GCTCGGCTGGAGCCAAATCTGGCGCGGGCCTAATTAGGCTCGGGCCAAAAACGTCCGTGTGAACGCTCGGCTGGAGCCAAATCTGGCGCGGGCCTAATTAGGCTCGGGCCAAAAACGTCCGTGTGAACGCTCGGCTGGAGCCAAATCTGGCGCGGGCCTAATTAGGCTCGGGCCAAAAACGTCCGTGTGAACGCTCGGCTCGAGCCAAATCTGGCGCGGGCCTAATTAGGCTCGGGCCAAAAACGTCCGTGTGAACGCGCCTTTAATTTATTGTAATATTGCAGGTGTTCACAATCACACACAGTTCTTCGCATTCCTGGCAGCCATGGCAGTGTTGCTCTTTCTTTTCCAGTATGTTATTTATATATGTAAGTATAGTTTATCCCTGAGTGGTTTTTTTCATTATTCAAGCCACATTTCCTAACATATAGTAAATGAGGAATTATCCTCATGGTTAATTATCAGCTCATGCTGCTAGTCTTTCATACTACACTGTACTAGGGTGATATCAACAGTGTGTGATTTGTTAAGTATCCTATTGGAAGCAAACAAGTGAATAGAATATGTTCAGTAGTATTACATTAAGCAACATTCTTTGCATATATTATTAGCTCTTGTTATTATATATATATATAACTCATAATAAAGAAGAGTATGACATTGTTTTAACAGTGTTTTGCATAGTTTTCAACTTGTAAATATTCTATCAATATGTGAATAAATATATTCAAACTTTACCTTGTTTTCGTCTATGATTCTCCCTTAATCATATGACACCACCAATTTACCTGAAAATCGTATGTGTTCTTCAAAAAAATTCTTTGAATACGACACGGTTTCACACAGTTTTCCCAAATGATCGCATGTATTCGGCGCAAGTTATCGGATTAGTGTTCTATTGTCTATGACGGAACGCTGGGGGCTGTTGGGGATATTAGGCATCGAATTGTATTCAGCGTGTAGCGTTTTCAGCATGCTAGAAATAAATGTGTGCTCACGGCGAGCTAGCAGCTGATTTTAGCTGTGTTGCCATCGTGTTCCTGATGATAAGGAAGCGAAACAAGTGCTGTTACTGTGCTTACCTAATATCCCCAACAGCCCCCAGCATCCCGTAGTTACAACCTGGTGCTGCGGCCGCATTATCAACATGCGCCGAATACATGCGAACATTTGGGAAAACTGTGTGAAACCGTGTCGTATTCAAAGAACTTTTTTGAAGAACACATACGATTTTCAGGTAAATTGGTGGTGTCATATGATTAAGGGAGAATCATAGACGAAAACAAGGTAAAGTTTGAATATATTTATTCACATATTGATAGAATATTTACAAGTTGAAAACTAAGCAAAATGCTGTTAAAACGGTGTCATACTCTTCTCTATTATGAGCTCTTTATATATATATATATATGTATATTTGACTGTAACTAATTACCTGCACTCCCTAACTAAGGTGAATTATTTGTTCTCATAATTATTATGCAGACTGGAGCCATGAGTGTGTTGATGTAACTGTTGAGGAGGGAATTTGGACAAAAGTCAAATATCTGATGAGTTGTCAGGCTTGGGCAGCGATGTACTTCTGCTTGGCAGCGGTGTTTGCCATACCCATCGTGTTTCTGCTGCTTCTTCAGTTGTACCAGGTAGGGCTATCTTTCACACTGGTTCTGAGCCAACTCATTCCTGCATGGCAGACCACGATATTCAACACTTGTTGAAACATGGTTGATGTTAATAAGACAGTTCTTCCACAAAACAAGTTAAACTGCTTGTGTCCTCTAACTAATGCTCTATAACTGCTAAATTTCGATTTTGGGTGACATTTACCAATTTTTGCAGGTTGTATTTGTTGCAATGACTACCAATGAGAAGTTGAAAACATCCAAATATGAGTATTTTAAAGGCACTGATGGCAAGTTCAGGAATCCCTTCAAGTAAGTAAATGGAGTGCAGCAAATCATGCATTTTCAGACATCTTTTTGTGTATGCTAGAGAATGTGCAGCATACAATATATATAGCAGATAACATATTGCATTATATCCTTATAATCATACTACAGTTTTTTTTATCATCGGTTACTACCATTCCATTGTCTTCTGATATTACTATTACTTAATATACAATTTATACCACCATTCCTTTTATGATAGATATAAAACTACTATTTTGTAGTATTGTAAACAGGAATGAAGATATAAAGTCAAACTTGTTGTAGTAACCGGAATAAACTTTATTAACTTGTACACTGTAGCCACATCGCACAAAGATCCAAAGAATGCGCACACGCGCATACGCGCGTGTGCTCAGCTCGCTGCTCAGAACCCAAATCCCCCCTCTTACATCTTGTAACAGTATGTACACAGTGTACGCGAAGGACTACATTGTAGCGTGGTGTTATACGGTGCGCAGTAATATCTAACTCTCTTACTCGCCGGTCACAATGGCGTAAAGCTGTATTATGCGAGCGCTCCTAATAAACGCTCATTATCACACATATGTATTGACATCGTCATTCATCATGGTGGCAGCGGAAACTATGTGTGCTCAAGACGCCTCAGACAGCAACGGCAACTCATGTCAGTGTCGAATGTATGTGTGAAAGCCCGCGGTGCATAATGCCTTGTTTTATGGGCTGAGTGGCTACAGCGCGCCATGCCAACGATCGGCATGTAGTGCCCGGATGTGCGCGCAGCCTTGAGCTCATCTCGTGCGATGGCAGCACGGTGCGCGTTGTGACAAATGCTGTAGACGGTAGAGCAGTCAACAAGCATGTCGCGTGAGCAAGTTCCACGCATGGACTGGGCTTTGCCTGACCAGGCAGACGCTTTCAAGCTTTTTAAGCAAAGGCTTGAAATATATTTCAAAGTAAAGGGTATCATAGACGAGGACCAAGTCAATTATATACTGCTCCAAGTGGGGGATGAGGGTCTTTGCCGCTATAACGCGTGGACGCTGACAGACGACGAGAGGAAATCAGCGAGCGGCATATTCGCCAGATTCGCCGAACAATTAGAACCGTCTGAAAACTACCGTATTAGTCGCCTGAAACTAATGCATTTCCGCCAAAAACAAGGAGAATCCGTTGACGACTTCGTGAATAGAAGTAAGTTACAGGCAATAAGATGTGACTTTGAGGGAAATGAGCTCAATGACAGATTGGTTGAATTGATCATTGCCAGCACCCCTATACCTGAATATCAAAAAGAGTTACTGAGCAAGGACAAAACCTATAAACTATCAGATGCACTAGTACTAGGCA